TATATATATATATATAGGATTTCGGTTTATTTCCTCCTTATTTACAAACTTACCAAACATATCTCATCAGAATTAAAAAAGAAAAAAATTCTCAATAAAAATGGAAAAAAAATAAAATAAGAAGGAAATAAACGAAATCAAATGTTTCCTAAGATATCCCACATGGAAAAAGTATATATGGAAAAAAAAAATATTCTCAGATTTTCATACTCCCCCTCAAGTTGGGTCGTAAATTTTAGAGAAACCAAGTTAGGTATTAAATTTTGAGAAGTTGCTCAAAGGAGGAGCTTTGGTGCATTTCAATGTTGTCAATCACCTTCTCTGACTCCACGATTTTAGTGTGTCAAGAGGTTGGTGTGCTGCATTAAATTAACTTCAGAGTAGAATTTGAAGTTTTTATACCATACTTGGCTATCAACCCCAAGAGTATTTAAATTTACTTTTAATTGACTGCAATTGTCTTTGACTATAGTTTTTGCAGTTTCTGCAGATAGGTAGAAGGTTGTTGCAAATAATACTTTAGGGAAAACTGTAGGGCGTGGCCAGCAGGAAAAAAGAAAAAACAGTTGTAGGGAAGAACCGAGAAAGGGTCTGTAGCAGGGAGAAGCTTCAGCGAAGGGTCTACAACAGAAAGACTGGTTCAGAAAGAATTCTGGAAGAGGGCCTACAACAGGGATGCTTCCGGCTACAAGGAGAATTTCGAAGGGGCCTGCAGCAAGGAGAATTTATGTTTCAGGTAAGGGTGTAAACAAAGCTCAGCTCGTGTTCGACTCAAGCCGAGGTTCAGCTCGTGTTCGGCTCGTTTATATTTCGAGCTCCAAAAGTGTGCTCGTGTTCAGCTCGTTTGCTTAGCGAGTCAAACACGAGACGTTCACGAACAAAAAGTCATTTTGACAACCCTAAACATGTAGTCATAAGATGTTAAGATTTGGGGCAAGAATTAAAAATTATTATTATATTAAAACATCATTTAAATTTAATTTATAATTGTTTCTTCTATTTTCTTAATTAATACTTTAAATTAATTATAAATCTTTGTAGCCTTGTAGTCAATAAAAAATTTCAAAAATATCGCTCACCAATTATATATATATATATATATATATATATA